AGGTCCCTGGGGGCATAAGCGCCCCAGAGAGCACTGCCAGGACTCGGCTCCCTGGGAGATTAGGGTGCAGCCCCCTAGGAGGAAGGGTCCCCTGGAGGCCCCGCGACCCTGAGAATCTCCAATGACGCTTCAGCGCTACCTGCATTGGTACCTGTTGGCGCCGTTCCCCCTAGGGCCGGCCCCTGGGAAGCACTCCAGACCTGTTGAGGCCCCTATGTGCAGTAATTTTGCGCTATTTTGAACTTTGGTTGATGCTACTCTAATAAATACACCTCCATCACTTTTCAATATCATCCCATTCTGAAAGAAGGTAACAGAGAATAATATCCAACAGGAAGAAGCATAAGTTGAAGGGCGTTGTGCTGACTGACTGTTCTTTTCTCCTATTGGTTTGTAATTTGGTGGTTTAAAAAATTGAATCCACCAATCACAGTTCCAGTAAGGACTGCTGGAAGTATGTAATATATATGAGACAGTGAAACAAGCTGGTAGATGCAACGTTAAATATATACACCTAACACTATTCAATATTAGTGCATTCTGGAAGAAGGTAACGAGAGAATAATATCAACAGGAAAACATAAGTTGAGGTGTTGAGCTGACTGACTGTTCTCTTCTCCTGTGAAACATATTTGGTGGGTTAAAGAAAAGTCCATAATCACAGTTCAGTAGGGACGCTGGTGGAAGTATGTAATATATCTGAGACAGCGAAACGAAGCATGTCATAGAGGCCAGAGTCTCTGGGGAATGACACCACTGATAGGGCCTAGAGTGTGTTGCCGCCGCCATTACAAGGGCCTCTGGGGCGTAGCTGCCCTTGGGAGGGTCCCTGGTACGTCGCGGCCCCTGGAAAGATCGCTCGGCTGTAAGTGCCTATGGGAGATCCCCTGGGAGCCCACAGCACTGCAAGAGGGTCCCTGGAAAGGTCCCTGGGACGCTTTTATAACTAGGGAGGTGTCTCTGGGGGCGCCCGATATCCCTGGGACAGTCCCTGGTTTATCTACCGCCCCTTGGGTCCCCAGAGCTCCTGAATGGGTTTCTTGGAGCCCCACCACCCTTGGAAAAGTTCCTGGGGGTGAGTGCCGCCATAGAGAGGGGCTCAGCGGGGCACGGCGCCCCTGGGATTGTGCTAGGGGTGCTGCCTCTGGAATGGAAGGGTCCTGGGCGCTGTGACCCCTGAGAAGGTCCAATGAGGCGTCGGCACCCCTGCATTGGCCCCTGTTGGCACCGTTGCCCCTAGGAGGCCCTGGGGAGGCGACAAACCTGTAGAACCCCTTGTGTGCAGTAGTTTTTCGCGTATTTTGAATTTTGGTTGATGCTAAGCTAAATAAATACACCCTCCATCCTTTTCCATTATCATCGCATTCTGAAGAAGGTAACAGAGAATAATATCCAACAGGAAAACATAAGTTGATGTGTTGTGCTTTGACTAACTGCTCTCTTTTCCTGGCCAGTACAGCAATTTGGTGGGTTAAAATAATCCACCAATGACAGTTCAGTGGGAATGCTGGAAGTATGTAATATAAAATGAGACAGCTAAACAAGATTGGTAGATGCAGCGTTCAATATATACACCCTCCAAGACTTTTCCAATATCATCACTACGAAGAAGGTAAGGGGAATATATCCAACAGGAAAACATAAGTTGAAAGGGTGGTTGTGCTGACTGACTGTTCTCTTCTCCTATGGGCTGTAATTTGGTGGGTTAAAACAATAGTCCACCAATCACAGTTCTGTAAATGAATGCTGGAAGGATGTAATATATATTTGAGACACCAAGCAAGCATGTCACAGGGCCTTTGGGAACCTTGGCAGAATTCCTGAGGGAATGACACCTGAAAGGACCCTGGAGCGTCGCCGTCATTCTGAGGAGCCTGGGACATAACCGTCATTAAGAGAGTCCCAGGGGACGTCGCCACCCCTGGAAGGGGCCGTGGACCGTAAGTACCAATGGGAGATCCTGGGAACCCCACCGGACTTGAAGGGTCCTGGGAAAGTCCCTGGGCGGCTTCTGCCAACTGGGAGCCTTTATTGTGGCCCGTTGCTCCCTAAAGGAAGGTCAGGGGGCTCCACATACGCCCCTTGGGCCGGGAGCCCCTGAATGGAGTTCCTGGGACCGCCAACACCAGCAGGAGAGTCCCTGGGGGCAGCGCCGCTCACAGAGGCCTCCTTAGGACTCCGGCGTCCCTGGGGAGGGGTGCTAGGGGTGCACGCCCCCCTAGGAGGGTCCCTGGAGGCCCGCGACCCCTGAGAATGTCAATGATCGTCCGGCGCCTGCATTGGCACCTGTTGGCGCCGTTCCCCTAGGAGGGCCCCTGGGAGCCTTAGACCTGTTGGGCCCCTATGTGCTACGTAATTTTCGCTATTTTGAACTTTGGTTGATGCTTCGCTAAATAAATACACCCTCCATCACTTTTCCAATATCATCATTCTGAAGAAGGTAACAGAGAGAATAATATCCAACAGAGGAAAACATAAGTTGAGGCGTTGTGCTGACTGCGACTGTTCTTTTTCTCCTATTGGTTTGTAATTTGGTGGTTTAAAATGTCCACAATCACAGTTCAGTAAAGGGACTGCTGGAAGTATGTAATATATGTATGAGACAGTGAAACAAGCTGGTAGATGCAATGTTAAATATATATATACCCCCAGCACACTTTCTATATCAGTGCATTTGTGAAGCAGGTAACGAGAGAATAATATCAACAAGAAAACATAAGTTGAGGGTGTTAGAGCTGACTGACTGTTCTCTTCTCCTATTGGCTGTAATTTGGTGGGTTGAAAAGTCCACCAGTACAGTTCAATGGGGACTGGTGGAAGTATGTAATATATCTGAGACAGCGAACAAGCATGTCATAGGGCAGAGTCCCTGGGGAACGGCACCTGATGGGGCCCCTGGGGCGCGCCATTCTGATAGCCGGTGGGACGTAACCGCCCTTGGGGAGGGTCCTGGGGACGTCGCGGCCCCTCGAACGATCGCTCGGCTGCAGCACCTATGGGAGATCCTCTGGGGAGCCCCACAGCACTGGAAAGGGGTCCCTGGAAGGTCCTGGGACGCTTTTATAACTGGGAAATGTCTCTGGGGCCGTTATCCCTGGGACAGTCCCTGGTTGCCCACCACCCTTGGGTCCCAGGGCTCCTGAATGGGTTTCTGGGGAGGCCCCTGCACCCATGGGAAAGTCCTGGGGGTGGTGCCGCCCATAGAGAGGGGCTCCTTGGGGCACCGGCGCCCCTGGGAGGGGTGCTAGGAGTGCCGCCTCCCGTGGGAAGGGTCCCTGGAAGCGACCCCTGAGAAGGTCCAATGAGGCGTCGGCACCCTTCGTGGTCCCTGTTGGCACCGTGCCCCTAGGAGGGGCCCCTGGGGAGCATAAACCACCTATAGAACCCCTTGTGTGCAGTAGTTTTGCGCTATTTTGAATTTTGGTTGATGCTACTCTAAATAAATACACCCTCCATCACTTTTCCATTATCATACATTCTGAAGAAGGTAAGAGAGAATATATCAACAGGAAAACATAAGTTGAGGTGTTGTGCTGACTAACTACTCTCTTTTTCTAATGGCTGTAATTTGGTGGGTTAAAAAATGAGTCCTGTGACAGTTCAGTAGGAATGCTGGAAGTATGTAATATAAATGAGACAGCTAAACAAGCTGGTAGATGCACAATGTTCAATATATACACCCCTCCAAGACTTTCCAATATCATGCATTCTGAAGAAGGTAACAGAGAATATATCAACAGGAAAACATAAGTTGAGGTGTTGTGCTGATTGAGTGTTTTCTTCTCCTGTGGCTGTAATTTGGTGGGTTAAAATGTAAGGGACTGCTGGAAGTGTGTAATATATTTGAGAAACCGCCTCAGGAAAATGGTTTGAACAATCTATTAAGGTGAGTATATATACTTATTCTTGATATTAGAGCACGGAGTTATGGGGCCCACTAAGTCCATGGCACCTCTGGAAAAGGGTTCAGTTATGATGGGCATTGACACCATGGGTAGTACCTTTCTTACATAAGCTTTTGGAGAAGCCTTTTGAGACTTATGGCATGACCTACAATATCTCTTGATACCTTCTCCTGCACCAGGTCAGACGAATTTTCTAAAAATGTTCTCAGAAGTTTTTCTGTGTGAAAAATGACCTGTGTCACGGCCACTACTGAATAATCCTCCTCTTGCAGCAGTGATCCAACTCCTAGGCTCATTAATCAGACTTACATTCAGAAATAACAGCTTTGGTTAACAGACGAGAATCATGTGGACAATACTTTGCTACCTCCAGCTGACAGTTGAAGATGACATTTAATAAATTACATTGTGAGAATATATCGGTGAAACCATTCATTATATGTACTGTGCAAATCGAGTCAGGAATGAGAAATACTAATTTATAGTAGTTAACATCTATTATATTTACAGTAAAACAAGAGTACAGACATTAACACTGCATGGCCTTGTGGTCCAACTGATTAAGTAATTTATCTATCTTAATCCCATAATAAGGCTCTTCCTCCATTCACATAAGTATCACTTAGTATTCACCCCAAATGCTGGTGAGTAAATTAATACCAAAATGTTGGATATACAATGGATGACATAAGATTACAATCATTTTCCTGGTCTCGCATCCACCTCATATATATATATATATATATATATATATATATATATATATATATATATATATATATATATATATATATATATATATATATATATATATATATATATATATATATATACAGTATGCTGATAACCACAAGGAAAGATGAAAACACGAAGTTCCCAAGCGCTTTCGTGTACTCACCCCTGAAAATGTGAATTACACGAAAGCGCTTGGGAACTTCGTGTTTTCTTCTTTCCTTGTGGTTATCAGCATATACCTAGATCACGCGCACCTACAGTGATTTACTTGCATATATATATATATATATATATATATATATATATATATATATATATATATATATATATATATATATATATATATATATATATATATATATATATATATATATATATATACTGTAGATATTCAAGTGGACCCCGGGTGAGGTTGGTGGGCTGGGCTTGAGGTGGGTGCCCTCAGAGTGAGGTTGTTGGGCAACCGGCAGGGCATCACGTGGACACCTCCAGAGTATGGTTGGTGGGCAAGACTTCGACCTCTGGGGCACTGCAGGACTGCATGAATTGAAGGATAACGATGAAGTAGGAAGCCACGACGCTTACCACCTGCAACACACGAAGGACTCAGGTTGCCATACTTAAGACTCCTAGTGCAGTGTATGAAAGATTCACATAAGAAGGTTCTGTACTGTATATTGAAATAGAATTAAAAATCTTAAGTATTCCAGGAGGAACGATCAATGTAACACAGGATCGAGCTAACACTGTAGTGTTATACTGTAGTGCTAAATGATGTGAGGTTTTCATGGTAGAAGATCTTGACCTCTAAAAGAATATGTAGAATTTGGGAAGAGTAAATGGACAAAACTTGGCAAGTGTAGCTAATGCCTATTTCATCTTCATAAGTGTCATCAAGACGGTTCACTCCATTTAGCGTCTCCAATTATGTTCTCCAAAACTGACATCTTTTGATGATCTTGAATCAATTGTTTAAGTGGCACTGATAATGATAAACACACGTTGGGGATATTTTCTTCTACTTCTGGGTGAGAGATAAAAAAAACAGTGTCATTATAAAGAAACAATAACGGCGATAAGAACTAACCGTGAGGATGAAGGAGCGGTTGATGATGAAGAAGTTACCCCCGGTGATGTAGACTTGGGAGGTAGTGAGCGACCTGGCCAGCTCACCTACCTGACATACACAAAAAATGGTCAGTTTTCACAAATTACAAATAGGATAGCTAACCTCGTCTTTATTTCTCTTGAAAGCAATCGACAGGAATTTAGAATATAAATACATAACATCCCCACCAGGCTTCCTTAAGGTTCCACCATGTTCACACATATCTCAATTACTACTGTATAAAAGGAGATGTGTACCTGTCTAGGGCTATTCATGATATTATGTGATGCCAGCCTCACGTGGGTCTCACAAAAACCTTGGTGTCCTTGGCAAATCTACAATGAGTATAGGTCACATTGTCAGGAGCACAGTCTCGTGTACCTGCACAAGTCAATTATGCTATTGTATACGGCTCTTGAGAACCATGTTGTAATACACAACTTCACTGGCGTCCATCTCATGTTAGTTTAGTACACTGATACTGTCGACTCTCTAGTTAATACTGCCTGTGGTCTTGTTCTCCCTGATACTGGGCCCACACCTTCCACCCTGTACTACATAAAGAATATGATTTGCCACTTTTCTCCATACAACCCACAGGAATAAGGAATGACCTAGTAGCCTGTCCTTCCAACTCTACAATCAGTTTATTCTTTTCCCATGTAAATATCGTCGTCATTAATTTTTTATTCGCAGACACAGTGTCTCAGCCCGCATTAAACTGGGATATAAACCAAGCAAGCTTCGAGGTGAAGAATGTTCTGCGTTTCTCTTCCTGCATATTATGTAACAGTCCCACATCTAATACAGTTCAGCATGGCAGTATTGCCTTGATTGTCCCATTGTCAAGGACCTTCTGGCGTGTTAAGGTTTTGATAACCTAACAACAGACAGGAATAACGAACGTATAGCAGAGAGCAGTACTAATTTTGTGCTAAAGTAGGATAATTGATATCGGGAGGGTCGGGAAATTGGAAGGGGGAAGGGGATACATTAGACGGTGACGTCATTGGAGTAGCGCCTCTGGTCGTACCTTCTTTGTATTATGTAAAGTCATAACTTACTAATTATCTCGAGATAGTGTTTTACATTGATCTGTTAATATTAACCATTAAAGATGATGAAGGTGGATGTTAGATAATTTTCCAGAAAGTAGTCGTCAAGTCAAACCGTAATTTTTAGGGTTCTTTTTAAGGGTAGAATCAGGCTCTCATGTTATAGGGGGCTTCGAGGACTGACCACAGGCACTCTTCACTCGCATGTATTGACGTTACAATGTTATTACTGCGCTTCAACAACTAAGATCTTAAGTATGTAACTAGGTTAGTAATTATACTAGTCTATGAACACTTAAAGATAATGAGAGATACAAGACTCTTTATTGACTACAGCCAAGCAACTAGCTTAGTGATTAAGTGATAAATTATTAATATAACGCAACTTACTGCAAGGAATACAGAAAAAATGTTGGTAGCGTTTTGGAAATTGTAGGGTTTTGCTAATGTCTGAAGGCAGTGCAATTACTAAAAACAAGAGCGGACACAGTTCTCATTCTGTTCAGGCTTCTGTTTGATGACAAACTGGACAAGCATTGGGCACAGTATATTAAGTCTCACTTGAAAAATAATCATGGTGGAAAAACTCACACGAAAGAACCTTTAAGCTTTCAATCGCAAAATAAAGTGTAAAGATAAATAGTATTACTGACACCAAATTTGAAAGTGAAAGTGGATTCCAGAGGCGTGTAAGGGATAGTGCTGTTACCACCCTCTAATTATTAAGCTATGGTACACAAGACGGCAATCAGGCTGACATTTTTTATTCGACCTCATTCAATCATTCACTTTTCTAACTGGTAAAGCAGGTATCCAATCTCATTTGGATCGACTGAAGGTGCTTCAACCGACCCTTAGGACAGGAGCCACCCCAACATAAAGCTCAACCAAGGTTAATGCCTGAACTTATTTAACTTACAAAAAATAAACAATACAGCACATATTCCCACTTCAATTATAGTTGCTGACTTTTTTTAAACAGTTTATTCGTTAATCAATTTTTAAGATGGTGTTGAAGCTTGAGCTCTAACATAACTACATAACTATATATATATATATATATATATATATATATATATATATATATATATATATATATATATAGGGAAATATAACTTTCTATTATCTGATAATCCTGGCCTAGGTAGTGTCAGGAGAGTATACTCACGTTAAACTTGTCTCTGTCACTGGCCTCATAGGGCAGCCCTCGTCCTAGGACGTCCCCGCTCGCCTCAGCCTGGGGTAGGACGTGTGTGAAAACCTCACATTCTCCCTCTTAAACACACACAATACTATTACTATTATACTACTACTACTACTAGTAATAATAATAATAATTAACGGTTTATTGAAAAATAGATCACGTGTGTAAGAGGAAACTTGTTACTGTCAGTATAAAAAAATAAATAAATGTTCAGCTCGACTCATTTTCTATTTCTGTGTTATCGTTCGTATATTCCAGGAAATGTATAAAATGTGTGAAAACTTTATGTTTTTTCATGACACAATTTTTCATAAGAACCCGTTAAACATGAACATACACTAAAAAAAAGTCTCCAGCATTCGACATTATATGTAGCGCCATCAGCCATCCACGTTAATTAACGAGACCCACAGTAATTAAAAGTCGCACGCAATCATAGGGTTCTCAGGTATTGGCGGTGAGATAATGCCAGGAGTGAGAGTGCTTCTCTGTTTACGAGTTTGGTCTTATTTGTGGACCGTGTATCTATTTTATGGGGCTTGGGACGTTCTTCTCTGTTTTCGAACACTGGATATGGTTACCTTATTGTGGCTGAACAGTTTGTTTTAAAGTGGACAGAATTCTATTTCAGCCAACTTTACAGTTAGTGAATTAATATGGAAATTATGGAATTCATTACAACTTAGATATAATAACCTCAAAAATCAATATTAATCTGACACCGGGGCTAGTCAGGGCACACTGGTGGTTCCCGAGAAATCTATCAGTATCTGCAGAACTAAAAACTGGAAGATTATAAGACTAAATTCTGATGTTGAAATGTATATGCAGCTTCACTTGATACAAGACATAAAACTAGTGAAATGAATTTGCTTATGAACATTTCCCTAAATTACCAAATAGTTACGGATATGTGTCACTAAATACGAATAGTTACTCTCCCAGTTTTGACAACAACGCACCGCCTAATCAAAGAGATTGGGCGCTTACTCTCATAACACCATGTACAGTACTGCTATCCTCAGTGTAGGTTTAATCCATTTGCCTTCACTACTTTGGAAATGAAGTCCCACCCGCTGTGTCCATTTATCACAGCTGAAGGTTTTTTGTTAATGAACACTATACATGCGTCACACAAAGCTCATTAATACGTTTGTTTGTTTTATTGAGAACTGAATTATTTATTCGTATTTTGTGTTATTCTCTCTCTATACATATATGTATGTATGCATGTGGAGTAATGGCCAGCATCCTCCCCTCTCAAGCGAGCTGACCCGAGTTCGATCCCAGGGCAGGGTGAAACTAAGAGCAAATTTCTTTACGCCATTTGCCATAGTCTACCCAGCGGTAATTGGGAACCTCGATGTTAATCGATTTGCGGATAGTATTCCAGGGTAATGGTTAGCCAGTGCAGTTGGTGAGTTGTCCGGTCTTCTCGGACTATTCCTTAACACTGGGTCATGCAACTCATTAACTTAGGGTGTGGTTGTTGTGTTGGCGACAGCTTCTACACCTTAAACAGATTCACTCCAAGGTGGCCCTAGAGCCGGCCACATCCTCGATTTCGAGGATGGCCGGTTATCAATTAGGTTGCCTGGGCCTAATACCTTCGTGACACTGACCCCGGCAACTCAGTCATGACGTCTAACAAAACTATACCAAATTAAGTCAATATTTTATCGTTTAAATAAGGTGAGAAAGTAAATACCTGTTCCTGGACAGTGCCGGCAGCGAGGGAGACGTGTACGAGCAGCCAACTGGTCTGTAGAGTGAGCAGCACCAGGATCACCAGCTCTTCCACTCTGTACACCCCAGCGACACCCTTGGCCAGGAGGTAGAGCTCCGTGCACACGATTACCACCTGTCCACACCATCAACTTAGTTAACACCTGGGCTTGATGAGTCTACGCATATGTCTTTAAATAAGATGGAGATGGGTGTAGCTCATACTCTTGTCTATTAGTGACGTATTAAATATAATTGAAAGATAATTATAAGGTAGTAATTTTGGTTGTTTTAGGTACTTCATCAATTATCAGGGTTGTCACTGACTACCACTGGCGTGACTGTACCTCAAGTTTCAACAACAAATAACTTCATATCAAGGTAGGAAGTTCACACAGTATTACAATGTTTGCTTTCATCATAATGTGGTGCAGCAACTTCAATAACTTATGACACATGTCTGCCAGATCATTATATAAATTGTTGTAAGGTATCGAAAGATTACACACCATATATATATATATATATATATATATATATATATATATATATATATATATATATATATATATATATATATATATATATTTAATAAAGTTAACCATTTCATTTGATAAATTCTTATTAATTTAATGATGTTGTTACACATAAACAGTATTCAAAGCGAAGTTTCTAATCTTATATTTAACAATTACAATATTCACTTTTTTAATTATTGATATTTGAATTATAGTGGACGCTGGTGGTATCATTTCTCATAGACGTACTTTGACTATTATCTATTCCCTTCTGGTCCCACACACAAAACAAAAAAAAAAAAACAAAAAAAAAATAACACCCGGGTATGAAAAGGTTCGTACCAATACAACGGAGCCGGTGAGGAGTCATTTACCTGTGTTTATATTGCACTTACTCCTGTTGATTCTACGCGTCACTAGTGTACAGACTGCATAGATGTTATCAGTGGCGGTGTTAATTGGTGGAAGTGGGGTGATGTAGCAATGGTGTTGGTGACGTTGGTGGTGGTGGTGGTGGTGGTGGTGAAAATAGAGAGGGTGATATCATGGGGTATACATTGGTGTCTGTTTGGTGAGTGTAGTGTAAGGTAAGGGTCGTTCGTGATGGAGATAAGGTAAAGTGCGTTGGTATAAGAAGTTGAGGCAAGGTGCGTGGGTGACTGGAAATAATGGTGACCTTTCTATAACGCTTAAAGGACCTTATAATACAGTGAAGCAAGAGAGAGAGAAGAGAGATGTAATTTGATGGGGACGATAGTTGAATAGGAGGGGAGGGGGTGTGAGGTATTGTGGGGGTCTTGTGGTGGAGTACTAGGGGATTAACGTGGAGTATTAGGGGTAGGGGGGAGAGGAGTCTCATCAGTCAATAGCTTCCCTCAGAGATAATGAGACAACTAGTATGATATATGGTGTTAGTAAACCTGAGACAATAGCATCATAAAGTTCCTACTACCGGTACTACTAAGAAGCTTAATGATGATGGTGATGATGATGAAGATGATGATGATGATGATAATGACGATAAGTGGTAAGTGAGAGACAGAGGTGAGGTAATAAGGTGGAGGTAACTTACCGTGGTGGCGAAGTATACACTGCAGGACGGGACTGAAGAGCTGCTGTGTATCACCCATCCTGACAAGGTGGTGACGCCGCTGTACCAGGCGACCCAGCACCTCCCCTCGCGACCCCCGTTCCCACACATCTGTAAAGGGGACACATTGTTACTACTGTACGGGGGGACACTATAATGTACGGGGGACACTTACCACACTGCTGTACTGTACGGGGGACACTTACACTGCTGTACTGTACGGGGGACACTTACCACACTGCTGTACTGTACAGGGACACTTACCACACTGCTGTACTGTACGGGGGACACTACCACAATACAGTATAGTACAGGGGACACTACTACACTACAGTACGTTTGTTGTTTGTCGTGTGTGCATATCTGAACTTTAATAAGTAATGACTTTCTGCAGGTACAATGACCTGAATTACAGACTGAGGATTATACCTTTATATTTCATTATAGAGATACAACAGCAGACTTACTCCAATAAGGTCAAAATATGTCTCGTGGCTTTCAGGAAGTTAACAAAATGGCTGGAAATCATTGCCATTACCAACAAGAACTGCTTACTGTATATGATAAAAGAAACGAAATACTTTAATGGAAAACTTATTCCCGGATAAGACCAAGGGTAATGTAAGGTAATTTATACAGTATATTTTGTTCTGTGTTGCAGTATATAACATAGGTGTGACGGTGAAGTAATCAGCACTTACTGTATATTATTATAGAAGGGTCTGGCCGCCTCTTGCACGTCACTGTGTATATTTAGAAACATGAAAAAACTTTACTCTCCTAATTAGCAGGTAAACTTTATCGTGTTACCTGAGGTGTCCCTGACCATTATCACGATATTTATACACCTGCGTAAATTAAGTAAATGCTCCAGAGATTATTATCTATATAATTTAAATGCTGATGATCCGTGTTCTTAACGCTTTAGTAGAACATTAAGAACATTTGTCATGACTTTCTTGTAAGCTGACGATACTAAAAGAACTTGGAGAGTTTTTGGATCACTTGAAGACTCTCACCCAGCTTATTTCATCGAAAGAATAACCATCCTAACACTATTTGGGGGGATAAGGTTAGGTTAGGTTAGGTCGATGACCAGTAACAGAGAAGGGAGAGAGGGGGGAGGGAGGAACATGACGGAGACGGATTCCAACAAGAAAACTGAATAAAAATGCTAATCAATGGTATATTATTACTTAATTTCAGATTACGTCTTTTGTTAGAGGTTAGTGAAAATACCACATTAACCCTGAGAGTTGAGGCCCTACAAAAATACAAAAAATAAATTACAAGTCTTTCTACTGTTTCAAAGTTCATCAGTGAAAACTATGTATATAAACTGTCTTCATTTTACTGCGAAGAGAACACAGCCCAACATTCATAAACAAAGTATGAACCATTATCATTATTGTCACTTATTAAACAGTAATTCATTCCTTTGTTTTTCTTCGCAATACTGTACCGGTCCTGTGACATGTCTGTCTTCATATAATTAGCAAATAAGTACAAGTTAAGAGAAGCTCGATTCTAGAAGACCTGATGTTTAAAACTTTTACGTCGATTATGAAATTGTATCATCCAAATTTTACGACAGATAGCCAGCCGGGTACAGTAGGTTATTTTCTGAAGACTTTGTGAAGGGGGGGGGGCATACTCCCTTCATTACACCCTCATTTAGAAACCCTAACACAATCTCCACTACATGTTTAACTTGTACGCCTGAACCCTCACAAACTCACGCACCCTTTTTGCATGTATTAAAAGAAAGAGAAAGAGAGAGAGAGAGATGAACCACCCACCTTCAAGGGCGTTGGTTAGCTGTGTGTTCCAGATGACGAGGCCGGTGGAGAGTAGATGACAGTGGGTGGTGAAGGCGAAGACGTAACCTTTATTGATAGCGAACTGATGCAGCGCCACCGAGCACACCGCCAAGTGCACCAGCTGCCCACGCCGTGCATATAAACAACATTAGGATCTGCTTTAAAACAATATCACGAAGATGGAATATTATAAGATTAAAACATAAAAATTTGGGGATGAGGTTCCAAATCGGTGGAACTTTTACGGCAACTCGAGGAAATTTTAAATATCCCAACACTTTTGAACCAAAGTGAGAGTAACAATCGGCAGTAAAACAGAATAAGTGCGAAAGATTTAGATAATAATTAGAGTGAGATAAGGAAAATTTACAAGGGTTTAATGATGAAGCTCTGCAAGACGCACAATGGCTCTGAACTTGACTGAAAATAATACAATAAATTATACAAGAGTAATGAAATTTCTTCATTAATATAGTTGGGAGTAAATGATTTCGATAAAAAAAATTATAAGTTACAAACTTTCTTCCCTGTCGCCTGAAAATGCTGTACTCAGAAAAACAAATGAGGCAAGATTAATTTCCCTGACCTTGGTTGTGAATGTTTGGGGCACCAGCCAGGAGTGAGGCACTAGGAACATCCGCTCCGCCAGACCGTCCAGCACATGAGAGAGAAACACTGGCTGTCCTGCCACTGTCAACATTAGCATGTAATATAAAGGCGAACATGAACCCAACCTGTACACGCCTTAGAGTAAAGGTCTTTGGTGGGGTTGATGTCCTCCATCACCCCCAGGTGATTCCAACTGTTGAGGAGTCGACACAGGCGGCGCCCCAGAATAGTATTGAGCACCTGGACCAGGGCGTTCACCTGGTATCCACCCACGATCACTACGCCGATCACTTGGATGCTTCTGACGTGCTGTTTCGGCAGGAATAGTTGGGGCAATGACAATAATGTACTTGGAGAGGCCGAAAATGGTTGTGGCAGTGAGGGAGGTGATGCATAAAGCTGTGGCGAGCGTGTGAACGCCTCTTACAGTCCTCCATGACAACTTATACTTGCCAGTCGCCGAGTCGTACGTGTGGGGTCCTACTCCTATCACGGCAAGAAAGCTGTGCAGGGGCAGAGGATGCTGGAGGATGTTAGCAGGTCGTGAAGTTTTATCTTCCAGGGCCTCTATTTCAGGCAGCGTTGAGTTAAAGGATGTCTCTTGTATCCCACGAAGGATCATATTGTTTAGGTGCTGATCAAGACGGAGTGGCGTTATGCTCTTTCTAGCTAGTCTCGCCACAGGCTCCAAGGTATATTTTACGCGTTTCTGAGAGCTTTCCTCACTGACAACGCCAATTGTTTCCTGATTAGGTCCTTTTTGGGCTCAGTATATAAAGATTTTCTTCGTGTACCGTAAATTCTGGTCACCTTGAAAGGTCTAATTTTACTTAAGAATATATATATTTTTTGTATATAGTTCATCAGCACAATATTTGTAGTAGTTCAAGACTGATATCATACTGGAACACAGGCAACATATAACTATAAATTCTACTTTAATATCGTGCAGAGTTCACCAGTAACCTAAAACCGAAATTCCAAAGGCAGAGGAGGAAGCAAATGTGTTGAAAGTAGTAACATGTAATAAGGTTGCCTCGTGCATTGTTTCTAAAATGTTCTGAGACAGGAGTCGCAGTGTTAATTTTGAAATTCAAGGAACCTCTGTATAGATACTTTTTGATTTTGTGTGCATGAAGGACACTATCTCTATAATTTTGAGTTGCCTGAAAAACTTTCGAGTGATGCTTTTATTCACAAGGAAGGCTTGTTTCTTCAATAATTGATTAAATAAAAATACAAAGTGCGAGAATTAATAGGAACTGTCATATGAAGAAAAAATCAGGAAAAAATGCATTCCACTGATTTTTCTTCCTAACTGTATTGTTGTTTCAGGCTTTACAAATTTATGTTAGACACGTACTGGGGAGTGTTGTCCTGGTCACCTCGTGATTAATCCCACAAGACACCGAACTACTTGAAATCCATCGAAACACAACATCGCTCTGTGGAATTCCTAATATTTGCATCATGTTTAATTTCTATAGAGGAACCTGGAGTCAACTTAATTGATGTTTGATGCAAAAATGTGAACTCTACATAGAGATACAACGATTTTTTTAAACCTTCATTTCGTCAACAAACAAAAAAAAAATATATGATAATGAATTCTTGCCCCATCAGGTATATGACCCAAGTATCACAATATTTTCACATATCGAACTGAACTTTGGTATCAATATCTATTTTATTTTCCAACTTTTAGTGAGGAGCAAACATTTCAATTCAACGCAATCCTGTTATGACTAATGACTAGACTGACGCGTTTGTTGGAGCCACCTGACGGTATCACAAGTCGACACAATCTCACTGTGGCTTATGACCAGAAGACTCGAGAATTCAAGTCAGTTAATGCGGCAATAAGTCCACTGTGGGTCCTCAGTATGGATCTTGCCAAAGCCACTTGTTGACGCCTTGGAGGGCTGGCGGTACACTGATGGTGGAGGTGGTGTACGCTGCTGGTGGTGGGTGTGGCCTAACGCTTCTCCATATTTTGGCATGCGCTATTTAGTGTCGCTAACTTACTTGTTTATCTATCTATCTTTATCTATCTAGCTTTATCTATCTATCTTTATCCATCTATCATTATCTATCTATCCTTATCTATCTATCTATCTATATCATTAAGGCGGGCGCCAAGTTGTAGCACAACACCAACCCGGACTACATCCCTGTCCTAACGTCATTAAGTTATCAGTTCCCTCCACCCGTCTACGAACATTTACCTTAATTTGACGCAAGTTTATTGCTCCTGCCATAAAGAGTAGCGCTACTAGCAAGAGTAGAGAGGGGAGGGGGCCGCTCCTCTGCTCTCACTCCACTTTACTAAGTTTGTTTTTGCCGGGGTGGAAATTTGTCGAAACGTCACCAAATAAATGTTGCTGTTTACCCATGGAAAGCGTAACGTAACGTAACGTAACGAAGAGGAGAGCCAGGGAAATCACAAACATCTTGACTAAGTTGGGTTTATTTAATTACCAACGTTTCGGAAAATCATTTTCCATCACCAGAGCCTAAAAAAAAAACAGAGAAAAGGGTTTTAAAAATTACGGGTAATATACAATAAAAACGGAACCAATAAAAATGACGGGAGACCTACTGTACGTACAAAGGTAAAATCAGAAAAATCTAAAACATTACCTTAATTGAGTTGAGCCTTATTGAGAAAAAAACAAAAAATTCACAGGAAGCCATATCACAAATGGATGGCTTTACTTTATATTGACACAAGGCTTCCATAATGAGGTCCGTCTCATAGTTGCTCCTGCCAAGAAATATGAAAACGGGTGGTCATGTTGGTGGACGTGGTTACGGATAGCTGAATGTGGTGGTTGTGTGATTAAATGACTTGTTCGGACGGAACGGCCCAAGTGCTCATGGATGCGAGTTATCAGATGTTTTTTTTTGTTTTTTACCTATATATGCTGCGCTACAGCTACGACACGTAAATTGATAAACAACTTAGGACTGCAGGTGTGTGGGTATGGTGTTTTAGTTTTAAAACAAAATTTAATTGAACTCAGAGTTTTGAAAACTAGTCTTGGAGAAATTTGTGGATATAATTCATTGAGAAGCTTCTTAAGTTTGTTTCTAAGGTTGAAACTGGGTGGACCTGTGTACGGGATGGTGGAACAGATAGAATATTTAAGAACGACGTGGATATGAGGCTGTGTGGGACCCAAAATCTCATGAAGGGTTTTGCCTCTATGAGTATCCATAAATCTCTTAGGGAAACCATTGTTAAAGAGTAGTTCCTTTATATATTTCAGTTCAATGTCCAGGCGTCAAGCAAATGGGATTGTATTAACACTGAACCCCTGAAGTGACCCCAAAAGAAATAAACGACAAAGTTCCTTCAAAAGAAATCCTGAAGGCAGTAACCCACTCAACGACTTATCGACGACCTCAACCCACGCCAGAAATAGACCATGACCTCCCTGACTTAGGCAAAAGTCACTCTTCTAAGGGTCTAAACGTCCTCTCACATAAGGAAGACAAACATAAAATAAAAAATCCTTACTAACCAAAAAAAACTAATATGGTTTAAATAAAGATAAAACGATTAAACAAACGCAACAAAAGAAAATGTAAAGAAACAAGAGACAACAAGAGCAAGTCCAGAAAACTGTGAGGGATAACTTCTTCGGGGTGAGAGCTGTGAACTCGTGGAACAACCTGTCAGATAGTGCTGTTATGGTACCGAGTCTGAGCTGTTTCAAGACCAGACGTGACCAACACTGGAGAAGGTTCAGATACATTCAGGAGCCGGTGCATGCCCAGTACTTGCCAACAGTATGTAACAGAGACGTGACCGACCACTCAAGCGGCTAACGAACCGATCAGTGGTAAATTGGATAAAAGTAAAAAGTAAAAGTTGTATTGATTTAAAAATATAAGTGGTGATAGGCTACCTGGACAGAGTAATTGAGTGAATATTAAAGACTGTACAGTAACACAGGGTTTCTCAGATAAACCCAAAGACCAGAATATATATAAGAAACTAAGAAGTAAATATCGAAAAAAATAACGGAGACAAGCAAGAGAAATTTAACAGTGAATTAAAGTACAATTAGACCCATGGGTATAGTGTCAGAAAAAGAAATCATACTCTATTCTCCTTTGCTCCCATATATGCAGATCACTAACCTGCAACCATGGAGCGGCTCTGAGTTTAATCCCTTTCATTTTTAAGTGGATTTAATACAGGAGGTAAGCCAGTGTACAAGTGATAGTGAGGTATTTTCACAGCCAGCCGTCTACTGTGAATATTGTTCATAATTGTCCTTTAAATATGAATAAATACAGAAAACTAAGTATATTTTTATGTCCCATGTGATACTACTTAACCACATGGTTCTGGGAGTAACTGACGATAAAAAAGGGACCATATAAAGTAACAGAGAGCAGACTGACAAACAACTCGAACGGCTAATGAGCTGAGATATGGTGAAAAACTAATAAATACCAAAAAGAATGAATATATATATATATATATATATATATA